GTAATAGTTCCAACAATACTGTGCGATCAAAAGAAATCCTCCCATGGAGTTTTTAAATGAGGCCAATGGGTCATTGCAAAGAACTGTCAATTAAAACACAAGATCACATGTGAGAGTAATTTGTATAATTCGTGGCAGGTTTGTGGTTAGCTTTATTATTTTGTCTTAATAAAATGCTGAGCAATTGGAAAAAAAATTGAATTTTGAAAAGAAACCTTTATTCGATCATCATCCAGTATAATTGGTAGTGGTATTCGCGAGTCGATGGTGCAGTGGACATCGTATTCGCCTGCCATATCGCACACGTCCAGTCAACGGAATAAACGATCCTACTGGTTATATCTAACTCCTAAGAAGGGTAGTAAACTTAGATTCTTTCAGTTTTAAAGTAACCTAAATTAACGATATGGTATGGCGTAGAAGTTGAATTTTTTATCTTAAAATTATCATTTTGATGAGGTGCGCAATTGACTTACCTCCATGTGGTGCACCATGGGCAACATATACTCATACGGCAAAAAGTCTATAAACCGGCAGTTAACGTCTGTCTCCAAACCATCAAGACCCCAATGTATGTCATATTCGACTACTTTCATGGTACTCACCTCACCTTTTTCTACCTTTGTGTTTGTCTCTTTTCATTTGTGAATTATTCTTCTGTCCTCCAAATCTCGACTTTTTGTGACCTTGTTGTTCCTTCCTTTTGTGAAGCCCGAAGTCAACTAAAGGGCCATTGATAACTATCATAAAGTCTGTTATTTGTTATAAATAAAGAATAATTTTAATGTAACGTTCTCTTTCATTTTTAAAATTTTAATTCGACTTTGTTTATTCATTGTACAAAAAATTATTTCCGCGTTTATTATTGATAAGGGCAATTAGAGAACATTGCTTCTTGAACATAACCATTCTTTAGTAAAGAGAAACATCCATTAGGCACCCAAATAGATCGGACGTATTTTTTAATCTGTTCAGCAATAGCTCTTGATCATAAATGCGGAGAAATTTTTTCTAAGATATTTATTCTTTTCAAATGGCAGGCGTTTTGATAGTTATCATCAGCTTTTATAGCTGACTTCGGGCTTCACAGAGGAGAGGAATATCAAAGTGAGAAAAATTCGAGAGGGGGGAACAGAAGAGTGATTCACAGAGGTAAAAGAGTTAGATAGACACAAATGTAGAGAAAAAGGTAAGATGAGTGCTATGGAAGTGGTAAAATATGACATACAGTGGGGCCATGGTAGTTTGAAGTGAGAAGTCAACTGCCCATTGATAGACTCTTTTGCCGTATGAGTATACGTTGTCCAGGGTGCACCACGTGGAGGTAAGTCCATTGTACATCCCCCCCCCCGGACGCCATGACGGACGGAAGGCTAGCACAGCAAATATTAATTTGTGTATTTTTCTCTTTGGTCTTAAAATTTCTCAAAATTTGAAAATATCTAAAACTGCTATGACCAGCACCTCCCCCCTCCTCCCCTAAATCACATAGCGTTGGAGACTTGTTATCGTGAGCGTATTATTTCAAAAAAAATGTATTATCAAAACAAAGACCATTTGTTTTTACGTGTTTATACAATTAAGTTAAACCTGCTGTACTGAATACTGATGATTAGACAAATGCATTAATTTAATTATTGAAGCTTAAATTACAATTTTCATTCACCTTAGTTTAGCACTCTCATGGTAAAGCTGTCATAGTAATAAAGTAAATGCGTATAGTCATAATTACTTACGGCTGCTCTATGATTTTCCATTGCCATCGTGAATCGTTTGACAGGGGGCTCAAACTCAAGATGTTTTTGAATTTCTATTCTTTAATTAAAATAGCGCTTTCAGATCCAGGACAGGGAATGTTAAAGCAGACGCGTAAAAGCTATCTTTGGCCTTCCTACATGTGGAAGTAACATTATTTTAGTTCTTTATGGATTAATTGTTATCTGCATCATTAACTGAATCACAGTAACTGCATTTGAATCTGAGAGATCTCAGAAATTGGTTAGACAAGGTTTATGCCAAATTTGATGTCTCTTTTTACTGAGTGCATTACAATATTTAGACTGAAAAGCACCAGACCTAAACAAACGAAATTCCTTTAACATATAAAATTAGCATTTAAACCTTGTTTTATGCGAAAGAACTTCTGTGCTCATCTCTTTCACCTAGACGGTTTGCTTTGAGACTTTTGTTAATGTTGAAGATATAACAAGATGCCTTCGGTATTCACCTTCACACTTTTCGAAACCATTCATCAAAGAAATTTTTTGTAGCATCTTTTTTGCATCAAGCTTTAAAACCCCGCATCTTGTGTGTATATCTTTAATTGCAATTCGATCGCAAGTTTTGGTGTTTGAATAGAAGCGTTTTGTTATTTACTTTTTTAAAGTGCTGTTTTGAAACAATATTTGTACAATTGTCAACCCCGAAATCCGACGTCTACCTTCACTGTTATTCGCAGTTGACACCCTTTGAATCCTTCAGCCTTTCCTACACCACCATCCTCTTCAAGCTCTTCCTACCTTTTTCTCACCCTCCCTCATACTTAATTTTAAACCCTCAAGGGTGATTCTACTCTTGTTTTACTTCAATACAGTAATATGGAAGTTAAATTTCCGATCAATAATTTTTAACAGTTCATGTCAATAACCCAAACAATTAGAATACGCGTTCTTCAAAAAAATGTTCAAAAGCGCATTTTTTTGCTGTAAAACGGGGAGCTTACTCCCATACATTATTCTGCATGCGAATTTTAAGAAATTTTAAGTCCGCATCCTGCAACAAACAAAAAATGATTTCTTTAGAAAATTATCGTGACATATATCCATTTTCAGGCACTTGGGAAAAAATTTACTTCCCTATTTTCCTCTATAATGCAGGATTTTTACTTAACAAAATTATTGAAATTCTAACGTAATAGATAGTTAGTTCGTTGTCCAGTCATTTTCTAATTTTATTTGGAATGGAATTTCGAAGCAATGAGAATTTGTCAATAACTTGAAAATCATCACACCGAAGGTACGAGATTATTTGAATTTCACAAAATTTATTCACTCTATTCAATAATAATTTGGCTTGAGCAAAGTGGAAAATAAATCACAGAAAGTAGTAATAGAGAATGATGGGATATCACTTTTGGGGAGGAATAGGAGACGATAGTTGAAGGGAAGTATATAATAAATGGAAAGTTGTGAAGGAAGAGCATTTTGTCGATAATTCAATGGGCACTTCGTTGGCTCATAACAGATTTGAATTCTACAAAATGTGAATGAAGAGATGTTGTCGTTTGTTAAAGTTTCTACTGTCAAATTTCAAAAAATAAAAGGCATCCATGCAAAAATGTTCCCCAAACTGGCTTTATTACTTTCAATAAACCAAAGTTAAATACTGTGAAGCGTTAAAACCACGTTCGTGTGACAAATGTTTTGAAAGCGAAATTTTAAAACCATTGTAAACAACAAATATTTTAACGAACCTTCAAAATTCACTTGGCCATCACCATCTTTATCTGCAGCGTTGATCATTTCTTTTATTTCCGCTTCTGTAAGTTTTTCGCCCAAATTTGTCATAACTTTGCTATATATAAATGTAACGCTTATTTATTGTGGTATGGATCCCATCAATTAAAAATTAAATAAGTAACTAGATACTTACCGCATTTCATCTACAGTGATATATCCATTTTTGTCATGATCAAAAACTTGAAATGCTTCATAAAGTGTATCTTCGTGGCTTATTGGTTTACAGTTATTCATCATTTTTACAAATTCTTGAAAGTCAATATGACCATCCTCTAAAATTATTGGAATGATATATAAACCACAAACTAAGACATACTATTAAGGTCTACTTGTTTGATCATTTGATCAATTTCCGCATCTGTTACTTGTTGACCAAGACTTCGCATAACATCGCCGAGCTCTCGCCTTGAAATATGTCCATCCCCATTTTTGTCAAATAAACCAAAGGCTTCCTTATACTCTGCCATCCTTTCATCGTGTTCATCCTTAATATAAATATTATCAAATTATTTAGTTACCTGCTGCGCTCTTGTGTTCATTGCCATTTACAAATAAATTTAAAATAAATATGTTGACGGTCGATCTAAAATACGTTTGAAAGTGATCTTCTAAAACGACCTTGAAAATACCATTGATTTAGTCCACCCTAAATAATGATATCGAATATGCCATTCACTTAGAAAATTTGTATATACAAAATTAAGATTCAATTTTATTTTAATTACAAATAAAATGGATTGTTTTTAACTCTATAAGTTAAGTTGTTATAATCTTCATATGAATTACTAGCAAATGAATTACAACATCACTGACCTAAATAAGTCGAGATTTTATACTAATTTTGTCTTTTAACTTTAGCTTTGTCTAATTATATTCTTAAGTATCGTTCAATTTCATTAAATTCTCTTTAAATTTCACGTGGATTAGAATGATCCCTACAGCTCTATGTGGCGGAGATCCGATGGCTACGTTGTAATAAGTGGCACGGCCTATTGTAACGCTTTATATAGCTTTCACTTTTAATTTTTGTCAATATCTATTTTATGAGGCCTTTTTTATGAGTTAATTTGGCAGCTACCGGCAGCTGGTTTTGAAGACTCTGAGTCCGAGGAAGATAATTTCAGAAGTGAAAGCCATTAAACGAAGTTGACAGCCGCAAAGCACAAACAAGATTGTTGCATTCATTGGATGAAAACGACTGAGTTGAGCCAAATTTTAACAACTAGTTCCCGCTAGCGAAAAGCAAAAGAATGTTTCATTCTAAACACTTGAAGCACACGAGGTTGTTAGATTTTAGTAAAGACAGCAAATATTTGCAAGATGAGTGAATTCGGTTGAAATTTCTCCTTTTGATTCATTTTTTCTAAAATATTCATTCTTTCTTTAGAGAATTCAATTAAGTCGATCAAAAATCAAAATATGTTGTTATAGGAACTAGCTGAATCAACGAGACTTTGAATAGTGCAATATCAGAACAAATCTTGAGTAATCCATACACTTTGGAAAATAATGAAATAAAAATATTTTTATCCAGGCAGATAGTATCTTTAATAGTAGAAATTATTTTAGTGTCAAGACTGCGTTCTAAAAAATACCAATTAGGATGATAATATTCCGACTCCTTCTAATGACTATGGCTTCATTTTTTACAAAGCAAGCGTTCAGAGGAGTACAGGACTTCATGCGAAAGTGCATATTAAGAAAGAATTGGTTATGGGTCATAGACAAATCCACAGAAGGAATTTCCTGAGTGAAGCCGATTGATAAATTAGCTCCCATTGTAATCAGGCTAGAGTAAGCCATTAGATTACTAGACCGAGTTAATTAATAATCGTAAATATGACATAGGTCCTAGAAGTTGTTAAGTCTGTGTTCATATCTAGACTGTCATCAACGAGTATGACAAAATTTATCAATGTGGCATTTAATTTAAACGGCTAAACTTGATTGGAAAATGAGTTGACAACTTAACTTTCTCCCAGTTATGGAAATGCATAAAATGTCAATAAAAGTCTAAGAAAAATTATCTTCTGGTGGGTAAAAGACACTAATAAGATGTATCGTGTTTGAAAAATAAGTTCAGACTTGAAATGACTCGCTGTACGACAACCCTTCGCCATCTTTCAATCACTTCCGATTCTTCCGAAAAAATATCTACAATTTCTTATTTATCCCAATGCTCAATCTATGGTTGTTACCTTAAGAGAAATGTGAACCAATTGGATGCATTTTTTGTTGGCTTGTTGTTTTGTAAGTGAAGTACTTTTTCACAAAATAGAAGGAATGAAAGCTTGATATATATGATAATTGTTTCAATGCGCAACAATCTGAAAAAAGAAAACTGCTTTCGAATTATTTATCTCTATAAATACAAAATAGCCTTTTATTATTTCAAAATATTATTAAGTAACACATTTTTTTGTTAATTAGAAGTTAGCTGTTAGTTGATTGTTGGCAACTGGGTTATTGATGCGTAGTTAATTATTTAAGTTGAATATGCTTACTAACTATTAAAGGCATGTGAAAAAAATTATTAAGATTTAACTCTTAGCACAAAATTTTAAGTAAAATTGAGTATTTCTTGGGCTGTATTATGAACAAATGATATCAATTGAAGTAAACGTTGTCTATTTTGATTGGCATGTAAGCTGACGAATAACAACGTGCGTAAACTTGACTACATCGGTTTATAACCTATTTGCTCATCGATGGCGAACTTCTTTCTTTGGTCGTTTGTTTTTGCTTTTTCGATTATTTTAATTCAAGGGAAAGAAGTTCCATTGGGTGTCCACCCTTCAAGTAGTGCATTTTAAAATACTGTCTAGTATCTAGATGCTCCCTTTTATATTGCTAGCAAACCGTTCACATGCTTGGATAAATCTGCGACCATACCTTGGCACAAAGTAAACGATGACTACTGTGATTGTCTAGATGGGTCAGACGAACCGGGCACCTCGGCTTGTCCTGATATGAAGTTTTATTGTGCTAATGACGGACATGTGGGAGTCTTTATTCCTTCAGGCTATGTTAACGACATGGTTTGCGGTTAGTCTTTTCCCTTTCTCCTATTTTCCCATATAGATTGTTGCGATGGTTCCGATGAGTACAACGGACGTACTAATTGCAATAACACCTGCAGGTAATTTTATTGTAAAATAATTTCCTAAAATTTTAGTACACTTGCTCGCGAAAAAGAGGAGTTGCTTAAGAGAAAGCGTGAAGATTTCGAGTTTGGGCACAAAATCTATAATGAATATGTGACCAAAGTAGGTTATCCTTTTGGATTAGTGCGCGAGGACCTTCTAGAAGCATAAATTAATATTCTTCCATCTTTTTCTGAGTTTAGAAAGCCATCGAACTTGAGGAGGAAGCGAAACAAAAGGCGGAGGAAGAAGAGCGTCGTAAAATTGAGGAGGAAGAAAAGGCGAGGTTGGCAGCTATTGAGGCCGAGAGAGCGACAACTGTACCAGAAACCCCAACTGAATCCACCATGGAACCATCCATTGTCGATGTATGCAATGTGCTATGTGAAATCGTCTTATTTCATGGATTTAGGTGTGTTTTAAGCTTATTTGTTTCGGTTTGTAGACTCCCGTAGACCCCGATTTAACTAATCATTCTGATGATGCAGTTAAAGAAATCACCGAAGACGAACACCATCCTGATGCTCCAGATTACCCAGGTATTTTTGCGTTTAGCCAAATGTATATATATATACATTATGGTCTATCATATAGCATTCGAATTTACCATTGTTTTTTATTGTTGTTTTTAGATGACGAAAGGTAAGCATCATGTATTTCGTCGTTTGCTTGATTTGTGCTTTTTGTTTGCTATTTTGTGGTGCTTTCAGCAAGTCAGTGGGTTTAGCTTAAAAGTACCTTCTGATTTCATCTTGCCTTTCGACTTCAAATTTTCCTTAAGAATAGAACAAAACCACGAAGTTTTGGTTAGTGGTTTTTACTTCACTTGATTTGAATTCTGTGGTCTTGATATAATTTATCTAAACAATCAATTTGAATCTACGAGGATTGGTGGAATACTTTTCTTTATCACGTGATTGGGTTTGTATACTTTACCCGCCTTCTATTTTGTGAGATTGACCTGAGCGCTTTCGAACATATAAGAGTCTTGCAGTGTTTAATTTATTTTTTATTTTGTAATGGAAATTATTACCCGAAAAAGTTGCTGTCTTTTCAGTATGAATTTATCTTTGCCAGATTGAGTCATAGTTACCAACTGGTTTCTTGTTATGCTCTCCATTTAATTGGGCTAATTGTAGGAGGTCAGTTTCTCACTTACGTGTGGTTCAACGTCCTACAATTTCAAGTGTCTACGGCATTATGTTGAAAATGAGCTTATCATAAACATTTTTCAGCAAGTTTTTGTATTAAGTGTGACCCGTCTTGTTTACTGTCCAAACGATTTCTTCGTTCTAGTCATCGCTGTAATGTTAGAATTCGAGCGATTCATTAGGTCGACTCTGAAATATCTTCCCTATCATAATTAGCGTTATGAAAACATCTTGCAATGGGTAGGGAGATTTGTTTTATTTTTGCTATTTGTTGACTACGCTTCTTTTTCTATTTTTCCCCTAACAATGGAGTTGTATAGAATTGTTCCTCTTGTAAAATTTCCTTGGAAATGAGGCCCGTTTCGTAAAAGGGTTATTGCACGAAGAATTCTGAAGTTCTTGCGACTCTGCAGAACCTTAACCTACTGAGGTTTCAAAAATTGAGAGTTTATCAGTATGCCGAGTTCAATCGTCCTTTTCTGTTTATGGGTACTTGCGACTCTTGTGGGTACAAATTTTACTCTTCCTCTAAGACGTTCATATTTTTCCCCCCACCTTTAACTATTCTTTTTTTCATACGACAAAAAAGTCTATTAATCGGCGGTTGACTTCTGACTTCAAACTGCTACGACCTCACTGTATGTCATGTTCGACCCCTTTCACAGTGCTCATCTTACCTTTTTCTCTACCTTTGTGTCTGTCTGGCTCTTTTACATCTGTGAATCGCTCTTCTGATCCCCACCCATCGACTTTCTGCTACTTTGATGAACCTTAACTCTGTGAAGCCCGAAGTCAGCTAAATGGCTAATGATATCTATCAAAACGCCTGCCATTTGAAATAAATAAATAAATAATTGATATTTTCACTGCCTTATTTAGTCATCACCTGCCTGACGATAGATCTTACGACATGCCAGAATCGAAACCAATTGACTACGGACCAGACAATGGTTTCATGATGCTTATAGAGCCGTCCACTGGTTGTCTGGAGTATTCAGATAAACAGTACACCTACTCACTCTGCGCCTTTAGTGAAGTTCGTCAGCGAAATGTCGGTTCTCCAGCAGGTTCTGGAACCCTCCTTGGCAGATGGAAGGAGTGGGTTGGTCACCCAAGAGATTCCATCAATTGGACAAAGGAGGAGAAGTTTGAGAAACTGCTTTACAATGAGATGCTTTATGATGGTGGGGAGACCTGCTGGAATGGACCTAGCAGATCAGCTAAGGTATGTGCATCTTTGGCTAAAAATTATTTAACTTCTTAAAATTTACGAATTTGTTCTTTCGTAGGTTAAAGTAGCTTGTGGAGTAGAGACTAAATTGTTATCCGTGGACGAGCCATCTCGATGTATCTATCTTATGAAGTTGGAAACACCAGCTGCCTGTCATCATAAACCTGAGAAACTCCTTCAAATGCATGTAGAGCTTTAAACTACGCCAATGGATTCTGTCATTTTGGAGTTTCAATGGTTCCTCCCTTTTATATTTTGCTTTGTATTCGCCTGTTGTTAATAAAGTCTTACATGTCACCTTTATTTACCCTTACCTGGAACAATGTCGTGAGCTGTATTCAATCAGCTGTATATCTTGAACTGCTTGACAATTCATTTAATCATTTCTAGCTGTCAACGCAGGTCCTTGAACAACTTCAGTTGTCATTGCTGGTTGACGTGGTGACAACACTTGGTGCCTCATAGATATATCACTTTTTGCTCACTCTTTGTGCATCAGAATACCCTAAGGGAATATGAAAGAGTCTTGGGGTGGGGTGAAGGTGGGTTTTCCTCAATTGCTCCACTAACTCTTCATTTCATTGATCAACTTATGTTGGAAGTATCTGCAGCTTTTTGAGCGGCTTGTAGGACACGTCATCGCAGCCTGCACGCCAGGATTGGGAGGTGCGATCGTACAAACAGTGACCAATCATTAACCTCTGTTTGTTTAACCTAATCCGCCATCCTGATCATGATTAAGCTTCCTGTGTGTACACTTTATCCGCGATATACTCACTGAATAAACGTGCTCCGTGCTACACGTCTGTTTCCTTTATAGCTGGGCTATAGCTTAGCTGGTTCTGGGAGTCTAGCTAGATGTAGGAGAATCTGCCACAGAGATTTCTGAGTTAGTCAGGCTTTACTAAGGTAGCAATCCGCTACAGGCTGGTACAAATTTTTGATTTCTCTATCTGACTGTTGAATTCATGAGATAATGATTACGTTGTTAAAAGAATAATGTTTTTGAAGAAAATACATGTAGTTTTAACGAGAGTTCAAAAGTGAGATTTCAAATTTCTTCCTACTCAATGTACCTAAAATACTTCTCGACCGCATCTCTTAGAACTTGTTAAAGCTTACTTTTGAATTAGCGCATGAACTGTCCCCAACCGTTTATATGGTAGAGCGTAAAGTGCAAATTAAATTTAAATCGGCCAAATAATCGATTGCTCAACATGCTACTATCAAAAAATCAGTAAGATAGCTTGAAAGTTGCCTATAAAATTAACCTCTTTCATCTCGCGAGAATGCGATGTTTAACAAGCCAAAATTAAGTTAGAGTAAAATAGGAATCTGAATACTTTTAAAATTAAGCGGTTGATTGAAAACATGAGAATTCGATACATTGCCTTGAAGAAGTAAGGTGAAATTCATATTTATTTCTTCACGATACAATGGAGCTTAAATCGAATCACATTCGCTGTCGATGCAACGCTGGAACAGTTCCTTTTGAGATCGAATCCTGCAGTGCGCATTTCGAGTGATCAATATCATCGGCAGTGATGTAACCCAAGCAAATCTCTCCCCAGTTACTTCAATCTCCACCATTAATTTAAGGAATCACTTGACAAAGAAGACATCTTGTGAGTTCAATCTTAACAACCATAGCAGGCACATTTAACTGCACGTTCACTGTCGAAGTTCCTTATGACTTGGCTGTTGTCTTTCTGGAATAGAAATGAATTCGAATAATTAAAGGATAATCTCACTCTCCTAATCGACTTTATCGAGTATATTAAACTTTGCGAAATAGGGAAAAATTGGAAGATATTAGTTAACCAATCTGGCTAATTTAATTTGACCCATAACTGATTTGTCTAAACTGAATCGAAAACTGTTTAATGTTCATTTTTTTGCGAATTACAAAAATTTAGTTACCGAAAACACCGTTTTCTAGAGGTAAATTTATTTGATATTACCTGCGAGAATTCGATGCATTTAACAAGTCTGTTATAGCTCATAGTTGTCATGAGAAAATTATTGCTTTTTTCCTCCGCGATTTCAAACCCGCGTCATCTCATTAAACTGCATACTCATACGCCAAAAAAGTCAATGAGCTAGCAGTTGACGTCGAATTGACATCACCTCATCGTATATCATATTCGACCACTTCCCGGTACTCATCTTACCTTTATTCTATCTTTGTGTATGCCCGTCTCTTTCACATCTTCGAATCACTCTTTTGCCACCTCCCCCCCCCCGCCCTCTAAAATATTTTTGCATCTTTGTTGTTCCTCTCCTATGCGAAACTCGATGTTAATTAAAGAGCTGATGATAACTATCACAAAGCCAGTCATTTAAAATAAACAAATTTCAGTACACAGCAGGGGCATCAAATTTTTGTCAATAAGTCCCAAATCATGATATTAACTTCCAATCACGCTCCCAAGGCTATGTTAAGCGAGTAATATCTAAATTTTATGAATGTTAAGAATTCAATGTCATCTATATTGTGACACGCTTTTGAAATTTAGCACATTTAATAGAAAAGGCCGCCGTGGAAGTAATCGGGTTAT